TTTTTCTTCGTGTTGGATGAGATAATGTTATTCGGTATCTGGAGTTAATAAATGTATGTCAAACAGGTCAATCAATCTGTTCTCACTTACCCTGGTGCATATAGGAAGGTTACTGTTGAGCTTAAGGTTTAAGTTGCCTTTCTGCTCATTCCTCATCCTCTGTTTTTTGTTTTCTTCTTTTATTTTAATGTATGTAATTAGATTAACTCAGTATTTCTTTCTCTTTTATTTTCAGATCCATCACCTAGCAGTCAATGCACTTCTGAAAAGTAACCAAGGGAATGAAATGGAAGGAGGTGCTTTATTTGGTCTAGACCAGGAATTGAATTCCGCTTCATTTAACTCTGACAAACTGTACTGTTTTGATGAGGAGACATCGTGTGCACCAGCATTTCGTGTTCTTAAACAGTTGATCCAGAGATGCCTTGCTGATGCAGTAACATCAGGAAATGTTTTTGCTGATGCTATACTGCAGCATCTGTACCGATGGCTTTGCAGCTTTCTGAAATTTGTGATTTTTTTCATTGTGTATACAATTGCTTTTACTAACCTCCTTTCTATCAATATTGCAGCCCAAATTCCAAACTTCATGACCCTTCCGTACACCGCATGCTACATAAGGTATTTTCTTTTTGAGGAAACTATGAGGTTGTTGAATTAAAAGGATAAAATGGTGAATATGAAATTAAACACTCTATACATGCTAAATGACATCGTTCTTCTTGATCTTTCATTTTATTTCTGAAAATTGGTATTCAGCTGACTGCAGTTTAATATGCGAATGGTATTAATATCTGTTAAGCGCTTCTAATTGTATGGTAGAAAATCATTACCAGATTGATCCAGGATAAAATGACTCGAAGCCTTTCTGTCATCATAAAAACTTTTTTTAGCGTTGTACTCATATTAGACAGATAATATCTTTCTTGGCAGATTATGCAGAAGGTGTTAGCTTTGCTGATGGCGGATTTCCGCAAATTAGGTGCAACAGTTGTATTTGCTAGCTTCAGCAGAGTTGTCATTGATACAGGAAAATCTGATATATCTGCTGCAAAAACTTATTGTGATACTATACTCAAAACTCTGCAGACTAGGTTTGTCTCCTGTGAATCCTAAATGAATCGTTATGGATATTAGTTTTAGGTTTTGTTTTAGGTTATCCTAAGTTCCTTCATTGCAGGGACCTATTTGAGTGGATTGAACTTGAACCTGTCCAGTTTTGGCATTCGCTGCTCTTTATGGATCAGGTTTGTAAGATCCTTCTATTGTTTGAGTCTCCTGTCCATTTCCCTTTTAATTATTGGCATGAATATCATGCTAAGTTTTATGCTTGTCCCAATTTAATACGGTTAGAGTCTATGTATGGCACTTCTGTAGAGAGTTTTGGATACCGTTTTATATAAATAATTAAATTCACGTATTATTTTACTGAAGGTTCTGGGCAGAAGTTGCTAGGTGAGGCAGCTGAATATTATTACGTAATATTTTTTTTTTTTATGTTTTTTGCACAATCATTTTATCTAAAATTCTGGATACAATTAAAGTCTAATCTGGTAATGTTTAACAGCGTAGGTGCCACTTATTACGCTTAAAGCATTTCTTTTAATGAAAAAGAAATCAGAAGCAATCGATCAGCCATCAGCATCATGTTTGCATATTTTTTTTATACGTGTCTTTCTTTTCTTTTCTTTTTCTTCCGTTACTACTTTCAGCTCCGCTCATTTTTGTATCCATCAATAAATATCATCCATTGCATTAAATGGTGGTGGACGGGATGCTTCTAAGCTGCTCTGGCATAGGATTGACAATTGAAATAATCATTGGCTAATTCATGGTGAGAAGGATGTGATAAAAGTAGCTGAGAAACTGCATGCAAAATTACGAACTCTTTGTCATTCCTAATATACAATGGATAATGGAACTAGGATTGTTAAAAATACACAAGGATTGTGTACATCTCAAAATTTGTTAGGAACCTCTAAAATTTATGTCCAATGTGATATGGCGTATGGCATGTTGGCAACTACCATGCATTTGGTCGAGCATAGAAAATGATAGGATATGAGAAATCTTTGTGTGAATAATAAAGATTTGTCACTCAATTACATTTACATCTCAGTTTTACTAGGAGACATTCTGTTGCTATACAATTAATAAATCTGGTAGTACGAGAATAGGCTGGCCAATCCATGGGGTAGCTCTTCCTCTTGACAGATGTGTGTCTGTTAGTTTGACTTGTGACAAATTCTTATCTTTCTAATTTCCACTCAACTCTGTTTTGTCAGTACAACTACGGTGGAATCCAAGCTAGATTAGAAGACAGACCCACTGAAGAATCTTCGAGAGCAAGTGTGGAGAACATGCCAGACGACTACCAAGTGGAAATTATCTCCAGCTGGACTATTGCGGAAAACTTAACCAAAAAAGCCCAGGTAGACCATCCTTCAGTGTAAAAGATTGATGACTTTGACCTATTGGTTCATTTTCTATCACAACAGTGGCAAACTCGGTGGGTCAAAGCATGACTGTGGTTAAAACACAACTGGCTATTGTTTTTCTTCGAAATCCATGTTCATCCTGTTAAGCTGTGTCCTTTTACTTTACAGGGCCACTTCATCGTGATTGTTTCTGAGTTTTTGTATTTCCCATGGAAGTTTGCGCAAGAAGAAGCTGCTAAGCGTGCATCGACCACAGGTGACCTATGTACTCCATCAATCACAGCTTCTACTGCAGAAATTCTTGAAACTCAGATGACTGAATTTCTGAAGAAAAAGGTACTATTTAATTTTCATATGAAGTAGATGAATATTCCTCGTTTTTGCTTTAACATTTTTTTACGAAAAGAATTAGGAGTTGGCTTATTGAATTCTCTGCCCTGCAGATTGCATCTGAGTTTACAGAAAAACTTCTTAAGATTGTCTGTGATCCAAGTCTCCATGTAAAAGAAAAAAACAAATCGCAGGGTGATCAAAACATCTCAACTGGAGGTTTGCCATCATTGAATAACATCCATAAGGGAGATTCTGCTCTGGATTTTATCAAGTACGTCTGTGCAGCTTTGGCACTTGACCAAAAAGTTCAGCATGAAGTTCTGGTAAGGAATAAGCTTTATATTTTCTATGCATAAGAAGCCAAATACTCTACAACTTCTGTTTCTAAGGGAAGGTTATGCCATCAATCTCCTGCAATTTACAGAAATGCTCGTCATTGTTTCATCTGAGTTTTCATTGTATTACATGAAATCATTAGGAAAAGATGGCCGAAATTCATGGATCATGGGATGCTTATTTTTGGATTTTTTTTTCCCTTTTGTGTCGGTTTCTCCAAAAGCATTTGGGCATTCTTTATTTAAACTTCTTAACATTTTCTGAAAGTTCCTTACAATATAGATTGCCCTCATTAGCAGTTCCACATTGTTCGAATTGTCCACTGTTACCTAGCATTGAAGTTTGTTGTTAAATTATTCTATTCATTCAATTTAGGGTTTAATTCTAGTTAAATTCCTTATGTCGTGATTGTTTTTTTTTTTTTACTCACAGCTACTGCAAGGACTGTAGGGACCTTGACTTGTGCCGTGACAGGACCTTAGTCTCCCAGCAATGGCATTGTCCCGTGCCACATTGTGGTCAACCCTATGATCGTGAATTGATGGAGAATTCCCTAATTCAGATTGCACGCCAAAGGGAGAGATTGTACCACCTTCAGGACCTTGTGTGCCTCAAGTGCCACCAGATAAAAGCTGCCCATTTGGCCGAACACTGCACATGTGCTGGCTCATTCACCTGCAAGGAGGACCCATCTGAGTTTCGTAATAAGATGCAGATTATTTTGAATGTGGCGGTTGACCAGAAATTCCAGCTTCTACAAGAATGCGTCTCGTGGATCTTAGAAGTTAGGTAACTCTGACTGATTTAAACTGGGGTGTATTGCTATAGACGATATATTGTGAAAGTAGGAACATCTCAGGTTGATGAGTGTAATTTGTATATAGTTCTTATTGCATGGGGTGATGGTTAAAAGGATTAAAGTTACTGAAGATAGGTATTGGACATTTGGACTCTTGTGATGTATATAGATGCCACCATTTGGGTGTTGCTATTTGTTGCCCCAAATTATTACTTGTTGTCCTAAAAATTAATTTAATAATAATTAAAATTACACTTTTGTCCTCATATAAGTGTTTTACCTACTCCTACCTAAATTACTATTTTTTATCTTCACCAATCTCCTCCTTCTTCACTTTTACTTCAATCCACATGTTCATTAATCTCCTTCTTCCTCTTCATTAAAAATTAACTCACCAATCTCTACATTATTCTTCATTAATCAACACTAGTACAATACCCGTGTATTACACTGGTGTTGAATTAGAAAGTTTTTGTAAAAAATATTAAATTTTTTATTTTTTTATAAATTAAAATAGTTTAATTTTATATAAAAACATTACTTTGGGTTTTAATTAAATTGTCAAATTATATTTTTTTAATCATAATAATTATACATCCATACATTAAATGAAATGTCAACCTGTGTTGAATTTTTTTACATATATCATATAAAAATATCAATATGTTTGTTTAATATTAAGCAAAATAGATTAATTTTTTTTTTACTTAATTAGATGTCTAATACATCGAGTGTCGTATCAGTCGTGCTTCACATTTTCTTAACTTTATATGTAATTTTAGAATTTAGATAAATAATTATTTATTTTTATTAAATTGACAACATACCAATTAGATTTAAAATAAACATCATTTTTAAAAGAATACATACCAATTTCTATTACTTTATAACATAATTTATAATTTTATTTGATATAATTTAATTTAGTTTGATAAATAAATTTAAATTTTATTTATAAGAATATATATTACTGTTTTGTTTTGTTTATATATATATATATAGGGGATGGATCCAATGAGACCACTCCTTAAAATGAGTACGTGAGACTCAATCTTAGCCACTCATTTTGTCTAGATCAAAATCAATTAAAATATACATTAATTAAATAATAAAATAGTTGACCGTTGACTTCCGGCGTTGACCGTTGACTTCCGGCGTTGACTTCCAGCGTTGACCCGTTGTATTGAAATAAATAACCTAGCAACAAAAGACACTCAACCTTGAGTGGTGTAGTGGTTGCATTGCTTGTCTTACCTCCATGAGGTACCAGGTTCAAATCCTATGAGTTACAATTTTTTTATAAAAAAAAAATACAACTAACTTAGCAACATCAGACAACTAACCTAGCAACAAAATACAACTAACTTAGCAGCATCAGACAACTAACCTAGCAACAAAACACAACTAACCTAGCAGCAAGAAAGAAC